CCGAACCGGCACAGCAGGTACAGCAGGACATCCGCCGCCAGCCCCACCGACGCCACGGCCACAGACGCCAGCTTATCGCTCGTGTAGAGCACAGTGCACATCACAATGATGTAGCAGTCGAAGAGGGCCGCGAACACCACCAGCACCAGCAGGGTCTCGTGCCGCTGCCGGCGGAAGTAGGTCTGGTAGAGGTTCTCCAGAGAGTCCGGCGCGAAGGTCAGACGCATGAACCGTGGCAAACACAGGCAGCAGCCAGAGCTGCGCACGGTCACCTCGTGGGTGCGTCCCACCGCCTGCCCGGGGTCCGAGGGCAGGGTGACCGAACAGTCCGCCGAATACTCCGCAGAATACTCGGGCTCGGAAAAGGTCCGGTTCCGAGGCATTCTGGGGTGTTGGATTGTAAAAGATGCTATAAAAACTAACACTCCGTGTGGGTTTTAATGCAACGGACGCTGGAAAAACATTGCATGGAAACGTGTTCGCCAATGTCCAAACCTGAGATCAGATCCGAAGCGGCCACCTGATTGTCATGCCTGGCATGTTTAGACACCGAATCAGATCTTGCATGCATGTTCGTGGCATTGGCCCCCGCCAGCGCCTAGACAGGCTTTGGCACTTGGGAGGCGCTTCTCGAACAAATGCCCCCAGCTACACGCCTTTGTTTTTCGTTGGTCTGCAGTCTCAGCAAGTTGACATGAAGGTGACAAAAAGGCTATGGGAGCTGTTTACACATCCATCAGCCTCTCTGTTTCCAGTCGAGGATCCAGTCTCGGTGTCCACCAGCGCTCACGGTGGGTTTCCATGGTGAATCCTCGCATGGATGAAGAACATCAGGACTCAGGAAGGAAGCGAGGCGACCATTGAACGAGATGTTTCGCCCCAGATCAGCATGACACGCTGTGATAAGCAAAATAAAACCCGAATGGCAGCTTAAATCGAGAAAACAGACGCGATCGTGATCGGAGAGCGTATCGTGGCCTGATACAAGCTGTTAAAAAGCATTTCCCTTCCTGTGCATTATCGGTGCGCACAGGATTCACGCAGGAAATACATGTTGCGCTCCGGTGCCGTATGAAATATGGAAATGCATTTCACAATACACCGCTGCTGCCTTCTGTTATACATATCCTCACATTTTCACTACTGAGATCACCACAGGACGTGCAACGGTGCAAATCAAGATCTTCGCAGAGGTTCAGTGATGAAAACGTGGATCTCTCTTCAGACTGTCCGTATCCTATTGAAATGCAGCGCTGCCTTTATCCGTAACGTATCCATATAACATAACACGGTCCGATTTGTGGCAAAGAACAATTTCAAAATCACCCGTGAAACACACGAAAATCCACCGTATGCCCGACTCGAAGGCTTTTCCCACCAAAAGCCATTAATAATCACGCGACTTCCCGTTTCATGGATGAAAGACGTTGATACTGGCACAGTCCTGATAGACCAGACCTGAAACTGACTTTTCATTGAGTCTGTGTACACATACGGAGAGATCCAGTCGTTCTCTCACTTTCTAAAATGCAAACGAACATGATGTCCGATTCGCGGAGGAATTGTTGTTTGGAGTCGGTTCTTATTAATGATTCATACGAGCCGATTCTTAAAGGGGTCATATGATGCGACTTCAATTTTTCCTTTCTCTTTGGAGTGTTACAAGCTCTTGGTGCATAAAGAAGATCTGTAAAGTTGCAAAGACTAAAGTCTCAAATCCAAAGAGATATTCTTTATAAAAGTTAAGAGTCAGCCACGCCAACCTAAAACGGCTCGTTCTAACACACCCCACATATCTATGTCACTATGTGGGAAGATTTGCATAACGCCGCCCAAATGTTCATGCAAAGAAAGAAGGCGTAACTTTTATTCTCGCTGTAGTATTGTTGCCGCCGCCGCCGCCATGTCATGAAAGCGCTGTGTGATTCGTTGTGAAAGCAAAACTACTTTGTTTGGTCTTCCAAAAGAGAACGATATCCGCGGACGAAGCGGAGTCCAGCCCGGGGTCGTCACATGTGGTTGCCGCAGGCATCACAGTATAGTGAGGGGCGTAACATTTCCGTCACACGCTTGAGGAATTCGGCCAATCACAATGCACTGGATAGCTGGCCAATCAGAGCACACCTCGCTTTTCAGACCGATAAGCTTTGTAAAAATCGACGCGTTTCGAGGAGAAAATCGAGGAGAAACAATAATGTACAGTATGTGGAAAATAATGTGTTTTTTGAACCTTAAACCACATAAACACATTTCATTACACCAAATACACAAAATAATGTTCTTTTTAGCAACATCATATGACCCCTTTAAAGCTTTCGTGAATCATTCGATTTGAATGGAGAAAGTTATGTTTGAGTGAAGCTTACAGATAGGTTAGCCTACATATGTAGCCTAAGTAACGCCAAACGCTGTTTATAATTCGTAATAAACATATTGTTAAATAGCAGTATTTAGCAAAATGTTACTTTGCCTTCATCAATTCGGCTGTGACGGAGAACTAAGACGTGGCTGTCATGTTAAAAGCTCAATATGTGTAATATAATCACAAACAGCATGTAATCATAAACAGCAAACTCTTTATGCTTCTACGAAGGGAAACAAAGGAAGTAAAATGCCGCGCACGACTTTTGAGAACACTTTTCAGCGATGACTCGTTTGAATCGATTCTCTGATTTGAACGTTTCGATCGAACCGATTCGCTTACATGAATCAGAACTTCTCAACGCCGCAAACACAAAGGACCAATCGTACTATGGCCACGGCTCGCTATATGAATATTCATTCGAGTGTGCTGACGTTTTTCAGAAGCGTCCAATCACGCGACCTGTTTAATATTCATGAGCTTGACCTTCTCTATAGTACGATTGGTCAATTGGCGTCCCTGTCAGCCCCTCCTCTTCACACCACCTTCCGTGGGCACGGTTTGTGGAGCAAGGACACGGGCCAGCCTGTCAACAGCTAAAAATATGCAGCCCATCTTATTACAAAACATATAGTGAGTTTTTATGTATAAATAATGCAACACTATGTGAATAATATAGATATATTTTTTTTTTTTTCAATGTATTCTTCACAAAACTGTCAACACTCTCAGTATAAACAAAGCGTGGCATGCAGAGAATAAGAATTCATTTGCAAAAGAATTCAAATGTAAAGCATAAATGCACATGTTTTAGGTTCGAGATCTAGGAGTGAGAAGTTATGAAGTAACACAGTCACACAATTAAGCCTGTAAATGCACACACACATAAAGGGAAGTTGCTTTACCACTGTAAAGGCTAAATTTACGGCTGTTTGGATAGCTGTGGACCAATATCTAGCTCTATAGGCATGTTTAAGAAGGGTGGGTTATCTTTTATCATATTAACGTTACATAAAATGACATGTTTTCTCTATTGTGACTGTCCGACACCTCAGGGTCATATTGATTATTCCACTGAAACCCTGTATTGAACATGTAATCAATAGTCAGACAGCTGACCTTTATAAAGCATAGATAGAGCTCATCAACATCACATCATGCCTGACAAACACATCACATCAACTCACACTACTCAACCATGAATGTGACATCACATTATCACCGAGCAGACCTCCTCTGAGCTGTTATTGAAGCGCAGGAGTCACTTCATATAGGCCTAATATACTGTTCACCTGAACGCTGTTTATGGTAATTAATATATATTCCCAGGCTCTCGTTGCTAAGTACACAAAGAGAACCTGAGGGAGACCGTGAGCATGGTAATTATTAAATTCGCTCTGCCTCAGAGAACAATTATCCAGTGCGTCATTATTATACATGTGGACGTTTGGGACTTTAAAGCTTCAGGGAAAAGCAGAGTGAAGAAACTGACCTTTTAGCACCTCGTCTAGTCATTTTCTCTTCTGCTCCACTTCTAGTACAAACATTGCTCAATTCTATGTTCAAATTCACGTCATAAGCTGTTATTTTTGTATTAATTTTTTAAAATTCTGCAGTATGAAACTGTGCAAAAAGGTTCCTTGGAGGGCAAACAACGGGGTCAATAACATTGTGCTTCTGGGTTGTTGTAAATAATGTTTCTTGAATGTCGATGTCACACCACGGCTTCCCAGAAAAGGAAAATAAAACTCACTTGGACAAATATGTGCTTTAATTTTTCAGCTGATTATTTCAGTTGAACTAAAGCTTGAGGAGTAACTTAAAAAAGAAACAACATAGAAAGAATTAATGAATGAAAAAAGAAAGAAAGAAATAAAGAATGAGTGAATGAATACATGTGGTTAAGGAAATTATTTCCATAATACTTAAATAAATAAATAAATATATAAACGATTAATCGAATTTCTTTTTAAGATGTAAAACAATGTAATAGTAAAATATTTTAAAAGAAACAATATAATATAAATATTTACATAATTCCAGTCATATGTTAGCTATTTAATTTGTTTATTTTAAAAATGTGATATTATATTCTAATCATATTTATTATCTACTTAAAGTATTACATTTAATTAGAAGTGATTTATTTCATTTGGTTTAAACTCCAATGTATTTGTTTATTTAACCATTTCAAAATGGCACCTTTCTGCTTTTGAAAATGTCTTGGGTTGCCACCTAATGTAGAGTAGTCAAGAATTTGATTATTAGCTAAATAGGCTATTTTGGTCTAAATTTATATTTTGAATCAATATTTATATAAAATATTATTTCTGAACAAATCGCAGTTTATTTAGCTATTTATGTAATATATCTTACTAGTCTTACATTTCGTTTACTTTTTATAACTTTATATTATATTTATGTTATAATTATTATTTAAGTATGTAATGTAATTGAATTGAAATAATGCATTACATTTTGTTTAATTGTTAAAATATTTAGGCTATTTATGAATTTCCGTATTTGAGCATTTCAAAACTGCACTACGCCATAAGCGCTTAATTAAATCAGGGTAGGTCCATTTATTTTACATTTAAATATTTACATTTACAGTTGCATTATTATTACGTTCATTACGGTTGTGCGTATGACGCCATGCACGCAGGCGCGTAGGATGTGACGCCCTGCTGACGTGTATCTAGGGAAACAGAGGAAGTAGATGGTGCTTCTTTGACAAATGTTGTGAGAGATCCAGTGGGAAAAGACAGTGGCATGTCCTCTAAACACTGGAATAACTGGAATAAGAGACTGGAGCGCGTCCACTGACACAGGTGCAGTTCCTCACACACACACACACACACACACACACACACACACACACTAGCGCGCGCCGTTTTTTTTAAATAACTTCTTCAACGTAATTAATTAGCTGTAGCGCAGAACATGATTTGACGCAAACACACACACACACACACAGACACACGCGCACACACACTCACACACTCTCACACACACACACACTCTCACACACGCAAACACACACACACACACACACACACACACACTTTTATTGAGAATTATTATTATTGTGTATCAGCATACAGTGATGTATGAACTCTAAGATGTGTTTATAAGTCTCTGTGATTAGTATGTGTTGTAACGGAAGGGAGTCTGTTTATATATGCCATCAGAAAGAAAATCTCTGACTTAACTTGGACAAACTGTATTAAAGCGATAGTTCACCCCAAAACGGAAATTTGCACAATATTTACTCACCCTCAGGCCATCCAAGATGTAGATGAGATGTTTGTTTCTTCATGATATGGAGAATTTAGCGTCACTTGCTCAGCAATGGATGCTCTGCAGTGAATGGGTTCCGTCAGAATGAGAGTCCAAACAGCTGATAAAAACATCACAATAATCCACACCACTCCAGTCCATCAGTTAGTGTCTTGTGAAACCAAAAGCTGTGTGTTTAAATCAATCATTAAGATGTTTAAACTGTTTTGGTGCTTAATCTGTGCATATGTCTTGCTTGATTCAGACAAAACTATTTTTGTTTTGTTTTATTTTTACTGGAGAGTGCAATATTATGGATAGAGGACTGGTATTTTAGTGTTTTTTTAAAGTTAAAAATGGGATTGTTTATTGCAAACATGCAGCTTGTGGATTATTGTGATGTTTTTATCAGCTGTTTGGACTCTCATTCTGACGGCACCCATTCACTGCAGAGCATCCATTGCTGAGCAAGTGACTAAACAACATACGTATTCTGACCTGTACTTATTAAGATATATAAAAGAGACATTATTTTTTGCTAAAAAAAAAGAAAAAGAAAAATAGAATTAAACAGGACACATTCTAATGTACGAAAAAAAAATGTAAAGCTGTTTTAACTTGTATTGTTTTGTTTTGATGCTTAAAAACCCCTTCTTTGACCCAAATTCATTCATACGGAGCATTTGTACACTGTGCACATTGTACACACCACTACAGAAATACTACGAGTGCAAAGTAGGAATGAGTCCTCAGCTGAACTTCATCACACCGGTGTTGACTGTGCTACAGCTCTATTTGGTTGTGTATTGGTTTTGTGGAATTGTGTGTAACAATCAGTATTTTACTTTCAGTCCAGAGATCACAGAGCAGCATGGGCAAACGAAGAGCTCCTGAGCTGTACAGAGCCCCCTTCCCTCTCTATACTGTGAAAATCGACCCCCAGACCGGCCTGATCATCACCGCTGGAGGAGGCGGCGCGTCCAAGACCGGGATCAAGAACGGAATGGTACTGTCTCTAACAAATATCAGCTGCCATTCAGAAATTACCTGCATGGCCGTCCACATGTGCACAGCTGCTCGATTACATAATCTCAATTAATTAAACAGTTACATATTTAATTACAGCATTGAGTCAGGTGCTTTATATTCTTGAATCCACCGAATTATGAATAGCCTTGTTTGGCTTCAAATATTCAAATAGAGGAATTCAGTCATTAATGATTATCTGTTATTTTATAGAAAAATAATATTTGTTAAGGACAATAAACAAAGGTTTTATTTAGAAGCAGCACTTTTAGGGCCTGATTTCTGAATCGCTAAATCCTGTCATAAAAATGGGATTTAGTATAACACAAAATGTTATGCAATTTGGCAAATTTTTGAATGAATAAATCAAAAGTGATTGCGAGTCTGCATGTATTATTATGTATAACAATATTACTATTGTACAGTAGAATGTCTGACAAAAATAATAACACAGTTTATTACAACATTACAATATCACAATATCACAATTTATTTTTCCCCATTTAATTTAATTTTAAACTGTAAACCTCTGTTGTGCAGCACTTTGTTTGCCAAAAAAATGAAAGGAATTGTTCAAAATTAATTTGATTACATTTTAAAAGATTAATTAAATGAAGTTTTGTGCATTCATTTGATTACCACAGGTTTCGATCATACATTTGTCTTAAAACATAAAACACAGAATCCAGAAACATTTAAAACAGACAGAATTTCTAAAAAAAATAAAAAAAACGCATCAGATAGGGCACTGTTATTGTGAAAGTTTTAATAAATTATAAAATTGTTAAAAGTTTTAAGAGTTCAGTTGGTTTGACATCCTTTTTGATGAATAACATTTAGTTAAACCATTGAAATGGAATCCAGAAAAATTAAACTGGAAAACACAGAATTTGGGAGAATTAAGCTGCATTTGGGAACAAATATAACTGATTTCAATGGGCCCTAAATGTTTTTTTTTTTTTTTTTTTAACTTGTAAATATATTGTAAAAATTAAATAAATTGTAATTGTTTATAAAAGTTTCTTTGGCTAGATTTCAAATTGGCTTTTTGATTACTACATTTGAATTGAACAATTAAAAATGGAATCCAGAAAAATGTAAACAGAAACCCCAAAATTTGGGAAAAAATTAAATGGATTTCACAGGGCCCTACATTATGTACCATTTAGCTGTTGAAATTGACAAAAGTGGAAGTGACGGAGTGTTTAGTGTTACAGTTTCGTTGCAGCATTTCCTGAGTCTGGATCTGGTCGGCGGTGTGCACAGCGCCACCTTGCTGCACACTCATGAAACGGACACGCGAGCCACCATGTGCATGTCTCTGGGTGGGGACGTGATCGCCGCGGGACAGGACGCCAACTGCAGCTTGATGAGGTTCAGTCACCACATGGCCAAACTGGCAAAGAAACCTGTAGCCAAAGATGGTGAGTAGAGACCAAACCAAAGCACTGATGAGTGAATGGTCATGCATAACCACATTCATGCATCTTTTGCGGTGACACCTGTTAACAGGGGCTGGAGACAAAAGTGCACCCAGGAAGAGAGGCGGGAAAGGCCAGAACGGAGATGGAGGAGGAGACGTGGCCCAGATGAAGGAGGATTCTCCTCAGATGGTGGTGGGGGATGTTGGAGCGGTGCAGGCCGACCTCAGCCTGCAGGACCCCTGTGTGAAGTGTGTGCGCTTCAGCGCCGACCTCACGCTTCTGCTGAGCGGCGGGGCCGACGGTTTCGTCCGAGTGTGGGAGGTGAGCGTCTCCCATGAGTCTGGGACTTTTTTACCATCCCTGCCCTTGTCTCAACTCGTTTCGTCTCTCTCCAGTTCCCCTCTTTGAAAGAGAAGTTCAGCTTCAGAGCTCACAAGGATGAGCTGGAGGATATAGACATCAGTCCTGATAACAAGGTGTGTTCTGAGAAGATTTTTGAGAAAAACCATTTCAGTAATTAAGAACTGCTTCTTCTTTTGTGGATATTGTGTATTTTATGCTGGTTCATCCAAGTAGTGCTGTGTTCTTTCTTGATGTAGCACATTGTAACAGTAGGCCGTGATTTCGAGTGCAGCGTGTGGAGCGGCGATCAGCTGGCCGTGGGTTTGTGTTGGCATGAAAACATGCCTCAGATCACAGAGAAGATGTACCGCTACAAGTCATGCAGGCAAGTTGTGCACTTCCTGACAGCTGCCACTTTCCATGAAAAGGCTTAAAAATAGGGCTTAAGTCATTTTCTTTGTCAGCGGAAAGGATGTGTTGTTTGCCAACCTTAGAACTAGTGCTGGGCGGTATACCGGTTCATACCGAATACCGGTGTTTATTTTTGTTATGATATGAATTTTTAAAATACCGCAATACCGGGAAACATTTCTGATTATTATCAATGTTGAAAACAGTTGTGCCGCCGAATATTTTTGTGGAAACCATGAAACATTGTATTTTTCAGGATTCTTTGATAAATAGAAAACGGCATTTATTTGAAATAGAACATTATAAATGTCTTTACTGACACTTTTGATCAATTTAATGCATCCTTGCTGAATAAAAGTATTAATTTCTTTCATACAAACAAAAAAATCTTTATGACCCCCAAACTTTTGAACAGTAGTGTAGATAAATAAAAAGACATTTCTTAATCTATTAATAAATAACTATTTTACTCTATATATTTATGTGTAATTATAACCCAAGTATATGTACATGTCGTGAGTAGCACTGTTCGAATCTTGCACAAAGTTGTTGGCAATTTAAATAACTTCAGATCAGTCCACCTGTGAGATCTCTTAGGCAGCTACCTTTTAAGTCAGCATCCTCTGTAGTCAGTAAGAAAAGGCAGTTCACTAGGTCTTGAAACCTACTGACCGTCTCTTCTGATCGACCCTCCAGAAATTGTACTACATCCAGGAATCTCATGGTATTGTGGTCACAGACGTGACGTTCCTACCTGACGCTCCTAAAAGTAAAGCCGTGAAGGGGAATAATGAAGTGGTCATGTTGAGCGTAGCCGTCGACAGCCGCTGTCAGGTGCATGCCATCTCCAACCGGAGTAAGTATGACGTGATCAGATTTATGTATACTTTATTTGCATACATGTAGACAACAAACTGTATGAAATTAACCCTAAAGTGGATAAAATCCGCATCTGTGTTTTCATATATATACGTGATGCCAAATAGGACATTTCAAAATCACACACAAGTTATTAATATCAAATGAAGATCCACTGATATGCTGTTCATGTCATAAAATTGTATTAAATTGTGCTGGTTTACCCATTGTAGAGTTTTTATTTAAAGCAAACTTTATCCTCATAAATACAGTAAACTCACATAAAGCAATATATAGCAAATCTCAACTGCTTTATTGCTTGTATTGTTGCAAAATATAAACTTTATTATCGTCCAGCTCTAATCTGCTAATTGTGACTATGAGGCATAAAGATATTAAGATATCATAAACAATACTTGATTCTGATTGGTCAATCAAGCCCTTGATGTTTTATATGACATTAAATTGTGTATTGTTCTGGTGCTAATTACATGCCTTTCGTGTCATTTTTAACTGTTTTTCTTTTCATTGTAAGTTAAAACAACTTATTGTTTTTGTGCATTGTCAATTGTGAATGGCGATGTCTCAGTAATTCTGTATATTATATTTCAGGATCATTCCCGCTGTGGCTGGTGCTGTTCTTCTGCGGTCTGATGGTGGTTGGAGTGATTCTGCTCCTGCAGTCTCTCTTCCCAGGATTCATTTAGTGTAGCCTATCCCTTCTCACCATCACCTGAGCGTAACATTTTATATACTAAAAAATGACTTGAAGCAAAGCTGGATCTATGAAATTGTTTAATCAATTGGAAATAATAATGGAAATGGGAATTCGCATCATGTTTTAACTGAAGTAAGTCTCCGGAGTGTGAATTTGAGCTCTGACTTCTTATGAATCAGATCGGATGAAGAATTTGGGCATGACCTGAAGATCCTGAACTGCTGGTTCTCCTCATCAGTGAGTGAACTGTTTCAGGACCGTTGAAAAACAGGACTGGATTTCCTGACTGCTCCACCAGCATGAGTCATCAAATGCCTTTTAATGGAGAAATATATATGCAGGGAATTTCAACAGTGAATTATTTTAAATATTTAAAATCATGTAAAAAATATAAATATACATCTGAACAACATATGCTGTTGCCAAGTCTGTCCGGTTATTTATGTGATGATCAACAGTATCCCAGCTTCATGTAGCACAACACTTCATTGAGTTTCCTACAAACGAACAGTCCTCATATATAAGTCGCATCCCATTGTACTCGCATAATCCAAGATATTTCAGATTAAAATGTAATATTTAGGGAGAAAGCAGTAAGAAGGGATTGAATTTAATCCATTGGAAATTGATTGGATTGTGAAACATGAGCGTTATGTCATGCTTACTGGATTTGTGACCTCATGCAAAAAAGAAAGTCCTTTCAGACAGTGCAAAAGTTTACAGACAGATTAATCGTTTTGGAGTAGCATGCAATAATGAATCACTCAAGAAGACAAGGAAGATGTTTTAGGTAAAATAGAGTCAAATGTTAAAGGAACACTCCACTATTTTTGAAAACAGGCTCATTTTCGAACTCCCCTAGAGTTAAACAGTTGAGTTTTATCGTTTTCTAATCCGTTCAGCCGATCTCCGGGTCTGGCGGTAGCACTTTTAGCTGTAGCTTAGCATAGATAATTGAATCTGATTAGATCGTTAGCATCTCGCTCAAAAATGACCAAAGAGTTTCGATATTTTTCCTACTTAAAACTGGACTCTTCTGTAGTTACAGTACATCGTGTACTAAGACTGACGGAAAATGAAAAGTTGCGATTTTAATATCATTGCGCCTGCTGCACCCATGCTACGGCAGCAAAGTTCCTCGATTATTACGCCAGAATGAGAGCATAGTTTCTAGCCATATCGGCCTAGAAAATCGCAACTTTTCATTTTCCGTCGGTCTTAGTACACGATGTAACTAC